TTGCCCAAACTAAATCTATAAATAAATTATAATTATTTAATTATTATATAATATTTAATTTTTTAATAAAAAAAAATTTATTTTTTTTAATTTACCTTTATATCCAGGATGTAAAAAAAAGCATAAAATATAAGCATTATCATCAACATCAGCAAATCGTTTATTAAAAATAGTAATTTATTGTTGACAAAAAGTACAATGATCATTTTTAGGAAGATTTTTTATGGCTGCCTGCTCCTAAACAAGCTAAACCAATAAAACAATCTGCTAATGAACAATCTTGTGATTCAAGAGTAGATATAACTAATTTAACTGGATAAAGTATGAATGCTAAAGCACGCAAATTATCAAAAATACTCTCATGCATAGTATTGATTGTACTGAAATATTTAAAACTTCTATATGATTATTAAGAATCTATAAAATAAGATAAATAAAATTAATTTTAAATTTTAAATTATTAAATATAATTAAATTATTTATTACTTATAGTTTCTAATGATATTTTATGCCTTATAATAGAAAATACATTATCATACATTGTATGCTAACGTGTTTCTATCTATCGTTTAAGACCTTCACCTTCAATTAAATTTTTCTTGGCTAGTTTTTTAAGAGTATCACCTATAATATAATTTAAATTAATAAATTAATAAAAGAATTTATTAAAATAATAAATAAAATTAAATAATAATAAATTATTATTTACATACCTGCAAGATAACATTTTTTAAAATAAGTAATTAAAGTATTACAGCGTTTAAGCATTCTATCTGCAAATGGAGTATTACAAATATCTTTTGAAATTAGATTAATAGCATGTGCTATACATCTAATATTTAAAATACTTGGATATTTTTTAGTAATAATTTGCCGCGCAGCTTGAATATTAGGACCAGCATCTGTTACAATAGCAGATATTTTTTCTGATCCAACTTTTTCTAAAACTAAATCTATTTCTTCTTCTAATAGTTCTTTAGTATGCCTTTCATTAGATAAGTTTTGAAGACTTCATAAATATTGACGATGATCAGATATATGTAAAACAAAATTCCAAATTGATTCATTAGAAGGATCACTCCATCTATCACAAGCTAAATAATTAATTAATTATAATTTTTAGAATTTAATTTTATAAAAATAAAAAAATAAAAAAAACTTACCTAACGTTAAATTCTCAGAATTATTTAATTGTTTAATTATTTTTTGATTAATAAAAGCTATTTCTTGCACTAAATGTCATCTAAAAAGAATATTTTTTGATAGATGTTCATATGCCGAATGTAAAGTTTTTAACGGTTCAATAAAGAATGAATTTTCAATAATGTGAAAAGGAATTCTACAAATAATAAATGCTTTTAATAATGTGCGAATTATTTCTTTAGTACGTTATGGTGTAAGTTTAGTATTTTCAATATAATCAGAAAGTTTTGTTTGAGTTGGCTGAAATGTTCGATAATCAAGTTTTCATTTTTTTGAAGAAGGCTCGCTAGTTTCATCTGCTTTTATTGTAAAACATTCTAAAAAAAAGTTCCGAATCTCTGCCAGAACTTTTACACACAAATTTTCTCAGTGGTCTTCAAGAGTTGCTAGTAAGCTTTTATACCAAAAGGCTTCACAAAAATTACATGTCACGTTCTAATGACATTTTGAAATTTGCTTTCCTTGTTGAATATATGTTACCCAAACTATTGATTTAGGTTTTTCACCAACTTTTCGTTTAGGTAATGAAGTATCATTGGTTGAAGTACTTGAATTAGCCTTTATTTTGTAAGACGCGAATGCATTAATGTTTTCTTACCAATAATGTTATATATTTGATTTCACGTAAATAATTATGTTTCAGAGAATTTCAATTAATACAGATTGAATTTCAGATTTAGGCAGTATCAGACTCAATTGGACATTTCGGAAATTTTTTGTTGAGGCGTAACTAATATCGCCTAGATTTCAGATTCGGATCAGACGTAATTATCAGATTCGTCCGAACCTTTATTCCAAAAGCTAAAACTAAAACAACTAAAATAATATCAAAGCAAAATTAAAATCACATATTTTGAAAAAAGCAAAAAAAGAACTTACAAATAAGCTTGACTTATTTTTTGATTGGTTGAATATTTAAGTATCACAAAATTAATTTTTGCTAAAATACGCAGTGAAATTTTTCAAATTACATACAGAATTATCATTAGTATTTTGATTCATTTGTGTAAAAAAAATATTTTAAAATTATAATAAAATCAATTAATTGAATAATAATAATTTATTATACAGAAGGCGTTTTTTCTGAAATTCAGATTGTTTTTTATATATAATCAAAATTATAAATTTGTATTGTGATTATAAACTTATAAATAAACAATTGATTAAATTATAATTTATTTGACATATTAAAATAAATTGTATTATAAATAAGCAAAAATTAGTCAGATGTAAAAATCATTTTTATTCGCAAAAAAATAATTTCATTTTTTTTAATAATAATTTCAAAATGCCTGCACAACTTTCAACAATTCTTTAAATTTCTGAGTATAGAGAAAAACATCAGGTGAATTTTTTATTGAAATGGCTATTGGATATATAAGACTTGAAGAAAATTCAGATGCTACTCAGACCTTTAATTACAATATTTTACCCTCTTGATGAAGAAATCCTTGTTATGTTCCAAGATTAAAGGAAGGACAAGTTTTATCGATTGCAAACTCAAAATTTGCTATTGAATCTTCTAATAATCAAATTGACGTAGAATTACTATTTGTTTTAAATATCATTTTTTTGAATTATAATTAAATAATCAATAAAATTATTTTTTTAAAACAGATAATTTTAACTTCAGCTACAATCTTAAGCATTAAACCAGAAGATTTACCCATTCATCAAATAAATGTTGTGGGAACAGCTTTAGTTTCAGATTCAGTACTTCTTACAAATCTTGGCATACAATTTGAATGTATCATTTCAGATTATATGGCTAAAGATAAGCCAAATGAAATTTCAATAATAATCTTTCATCCTAATGAAAGCCATTTGAAAAATCAAACAATGATGTTAAAACGAGGGTCTTCAATTTTTGTTTCAGGTACTTTAACATCAATTGAAGGAAAACTTTATTTAGAATTATATAATTTTAGTTTTTTACGTACTCAACAACAATCAAACTTTGGATCAAAATCTACAAAAGAAATGCCTTGGTCTTCTACATCATCATCATCATCACTATCAATATCATCACCATCAACATTATCAAATACAACAATTACAAAGTCAACAATTTATAATAAGATTCAAGAGCAACAGCATTCTGTACCTGTATTAGGAAAAAGAGAAATTAAAATAAAGTTTCAGCCAACTAAATTGACAAAATTATCAGACATTGCGTCAAATGCACTTGTAGCAGCTGAAACATCAATGGAAATTTTTAAAGGAATTTCTGAAGAAACTTTTGAAGAAATTCAAGAACAAGAAGAATCAACTCCTGAAATTGTATCTGTATTAAAAAAATCTAAAGGTCGTCCATCTCGCAAAAAAAATAGTATAAAATTTTCTTTTAATTCATTACTGTATAGTTGATAAACATTTTTTATTTTATATAATAAACTTTTATTTATAAAAAAAAAAAATTTAAATTGATCAAATAATACATTTTAATGTTTCGTTAGTTTCTAAATAATAAATCATATTAACTTTTAGTTCTTTTCATTTTAGATAATTCAAAATGTTACAGCATTTTGATTTTTTTTGTTTTTCGTATTACTATATCATAAAAATAAAAAAAACAGCCTTATCATTATTATACTTATATAATAGTCTAAATGATATTTGTAATCAAATAATAAAAAAAAAGTTTTGCATATCAGGCCCAATAATCTGTAACTTACTAAAAATGGTAAAAATAATTTCAGTTTTCAGCATGGCGACTTAATCATTTTTAGTTTAAAATTTTTTTTAAAATGATTTTTATTGTTTCAAACATATAACTATTATATGTATTTAGTTTTTTTTTGTTATTTTTTATTTTTCCAATTGGGCAGTGGCATTTTTTTTTTATTTTTGCTTTTCATATTATTAATAATTATTTTATTTTGGTAAGCTTTAGCCTTGATTGTTATTTTTTCTTTATGTCTTATTTATTATTCATATATTTAATTAATCTTTTTTTATTTTTTGATATTTTTTCAGTTCAGACCACTTTTGGTAAGTACTTATTTTTTATTTTTCGTTGTTTTTTCATTATTAATTCTTTTTTTTAGATTGTTTGAGTTCTTCGCTATAGACCAATTTGGTTAAGTAGTTTTCGTTGCTTTTTTTAATTGTGATTAGTAATTCTTTTTTTAGATTCCTTTGGGTTCTTTGTTGTGAGCCGCTTTGGGTAAGTATTTTTTTTCATTTTTTATTTTTTTTATTTTGATTATTATTTCTTTTTTTTGATCTTTTGGATTCTTTGCTGTTGGCTGCTTTGGGTAAGTAATTTTTTTCATTTTTTGTTGTTTTTTTTGTTATTAATTCTTTGTTTTAGATTATTTGGGTTCTTTGCTTTAGGCCATTTTGGGTAAGTAGATTTCATTTTATTGTTTTTTTATTTTTTTTAGATCAGTTTTTTATCTAGATGGTTTCTCGCTTCAGGCCACTTTTGGTAAGTAGGAATATTTTTTATTTTTTTGTTAAATCACGATTATACTTTAGGCTGCTTTGGGTAAGTGGGTTTTCTTTTTTTTGTTTTTCATCTTCGATTATTAATATTTTTATTTTTGATCTTTCGGGCGGTTTTTCATTCATGCTTGTTTTCGGTAAGTGAGATTAGTTCTTTGAGGCAGTTTTTCGTTTCAGGCTGCTTTCGGTAAGCGAGATTAGTTTTTTTTGTTTTTTTTATATTGATTACTAATTACTTCTTTTTTTTTAGATCTTTCAGTAGGTTTTCTTTTCGGGCTTCTTCGGGTAAGTGGATTTTCTTTCTTTCTTTTTTTTCAGATCTTTGGGCGGGTTTTCACTTTGGGTAAGTAGGGATTCCATTTATTACTTTCTTTCTTTTTTGGACCTTTGGGCGGGTTTTCACTTTGGGTAAGTAGGGATTCCATTTATTACTTTCTTTCTTTTTTGGACCTTTGGGCGGGTTTTGCTTCAGGATTCTTTCGGGTAAGTGGGTTTCTTTTTTTTTCATTATTCGTCTTATCGTTTATTAATAATCTTTGTTTTTTTTGATCTTTTGCTTGTGAAACGTTGCAGGAAAGTGGATTTTGTTTTCAGTTCTTTGGGCAGGTTTTCTTTTCAGATAAGTGGGTTTTCTTTTTTTTGCTTTTTCATCCTTCGATTATTAATATTCATTTTTTTCTTTTTTTAGATCTTGGGCGGGTTTTGTCATCGGGATTCTTTCTTGTAAGTGAGTATTTTTTTGTTTCATTTTTCATCTTATCGTTTATTAATAATCTTTATTTTTTTTGATCTTTCGCTTGTGGCTACTTCGGGTAAGTGGATTTTGTTTTCAGGTCTTTGGGCGGGTTTTCTCTTCGGGTAAGTGTGTTTTCTTTTTTTTACTTTTTCGTCTTTCAATTATTAATATTCTTTTTTTTTCTTTTTTTAGATCTTTGAGTGAGTTTTGCTTTGGGATTTTTTCGTGTAAGTGGGTATTTCTTTTTTTTTCATTTTTTGTCTTATCGTTTATTAATAATCTTTGTTTTTTTATTTTTTGCTTGTAAGCTGCTTTGGATAAGTGGATTTTGTTTTCAAGTCTTTAGGCGGGCTTTCTTTTTGGGTAAGTGGGGGTTTTTTTTCGCTTTTTCATTCTTTGATTATTAATATTTTCTTTTTTTTTGATCATTTGGTGGGTTTTGCTTCAGGATTCTTTTGAGTAAGTAGGATTGTTTATTTTTTTAGATTTCCAGTTTATCAGTTTGTATCACGTAGTGATTTTTGGTAAGTTTATCATATTATTTTTTTAGTTCATTATATCATTTAATATTATTAATATTAAATTTTTTTTCAGTTAGACCTATGGTGATTTTTCGTTCAATTTTATTTATGATAAAGTTTTATTTATTTCAAATTTTTTTAAATCTCTTCGGTTTTCTGGTTTGGAAATACTTACGATATTTGGTAAGTTTATTTTCAGTTGTGTATTGTTATTTTTGGTTATTTTATTTTTTGCTTATAAAGTAATAAAAAAAGAAGATATTGTTATTTTTTATTAAAAAATTAAAAAAATTTATTTCTCAAATTGATACTAAATTATTGTAACTAGAGCCTTAAGTACAGAAATAGTCTTTACAAGGTTGTGGGGTAAGACTATTTCTCCCATGCAAGTTCTAATTCTATTTTTATTTATATATAAGTATAATTTAGCGAAATAAAACTGAATTTGTATTTATATTTTTCTCTTTTAATACAATTTGCAGCAAGATAAATCTGTGTTTTGTATTTAATTTCTTAAATTTTTTTTAGCAATTTTTTTATATAGGTACAATTCAGCGAGATAAAACTGAATTTGTATTTATATTTTCTCTTTTAATACAATTTGCAGCGAGATAAAACTGTGATTTGTATTTAATTTTTTTTTTTTCAAATTTTTTTATATAAGTACAATTCAGCGAGATAAACTGATTTTGTATTTATATTTTCTTTTTTAATACAATTTGCAGCGAGATAAAACTGTGATTTGTATTTAAATTTC